TGGACTACAGAGTACATTACTATGATTGAATTCCTGGAATTTTTTTTTTTTTTTTAAATCAATCAATGTTGTCCTTTCAATTTAAGATTTACAACATCAAATAATAAATTAAAGCAGTGAAATTCTATTAGTGTATAAAGATCTATTTTTTTAAATTATGTTTCCTGTTACAAAGTATATGAGGTAAATTAGAGCATGTACTAGTCGAGCTCTTATAGCTGTTCTGTATGTCCCTCACTACATGGACTGGGTTTTTAATAAGTCTTCTCAGGCGAGAGATTTAATGTGATGTAACATGGCATGATAATGCATATTCCATGAATCTGTGATGCAAAAAGACAAGTCTATCATTTATAGAACACATTGTTATGGGTTAAGACTGTATTAATATAAATGAATTGCAAAACATACATTTATTAAAGTTCTGGATTGACTGAACTTAACAACATGACAATAATTGTTTTAGTTGTGGTTAGAAAAACGAACCAAAAATAGTCACGTAGGTGCATTTATCAACCACCATGTGATTTTGGATTATTTATGATTGTAATTTCATGACATGACACTTAGCAGACCCCTGTGTCACAACATCAGTAAAGTTTTTAGTGTGATTACTCTATGACATATTCCAGAGAAGAAGAGCAGGAGAAATGGGAATGGTGATAAGGGAAATAGGAAAAGTGAAGTGGAGCATGCCAAAAAAAACAATCTAACTAAAGCTATAAAATATGTTTTCAACATGGTAAATTATTTAAAAAAAGACGTGTTGTTATTATTGCAAGTGATAAAGTAAATTATGCTGCCAGCTAGTTCATTTGCGGGAAATATTTTTTAATGCTATTACTTTTGTCCCTTTAGGATCATAATTGGATTTGACTTCAAGGCAAAGGCAGTGATTTGGTTTAAAGATCCCAAGGGGGCGTGTCTTCATTACAAAGAGGGTAATATCTATGATGCAGCTCATTTAAAAACATAGTTTAGTTATTTTCCATCTTTGGGGGAGTTCAGTTAATATTTCACATAAAATTTAATTCACAACAAGTCATGTCTTGGCAAAGTTTGCCTAAAGGGTTTTGCATTTACCAACCAAATTACACTCTGGGGTCAAAGTTCAGCCATGAAAGTAGCAGGAAAATGTTTTGTCATCACTGAACACCTGCTGGAATTGTTGCGTCGCAAACATCTTGGCTCTGTTCACACATTGGAAGATTAGCAGAAAAGGTGCAACATCCTGAACTATCGCCAATGCAGAAAAAATCAAGGTGTTTTTTTTAATGATTTTGTTTTTCATAACCTTAACTGCATGTCTTCACTCTGTCGCAGGTGGGATTATAACCAAATTCTTTTTTTTTTTTTGCTGCAACATCCTGGAAAGAATGGCAAAAAAACATTAAGTAAAGTGCATTGCACTATATTTATCACTTTTACAGTGATTTAAAACGACCTATGATAGCAGGGCATTAACTTTTATCACTTTTAATATTAGAGTTGAAAATGTGGCCCAAACTTTTTTTTTTTTTTTCACTTGGGGCCAGTTATGATAAATACCCAAAATACCCAAGAGCCAACTTCTCCTCCTGCCATATTTCAGACTATAATTAGGTGTCATACCAAAACAAATTTATACGCTGCAAAACAAACGCTCTTGTTTAACTGGCAGTGTAATTTAATGCATGTGACCCAGTTTTTCAGAAGTTTACTACAAAACATATCTTTTTTTTTTAATGCGGTGTCATTTGGAAAACACAGAGTGAACAGAGGAAATTAACAGAGCTTTAGAAAAGTCTGAATTTCTTGCCATAAAAGTTAAATAATAAACATCTTGGTCGATAGTGACAACTTAGTGTCAGTGAATTCCCTCACTGTCACACATACTCGGTCCCTCTCTCACTGTTTTTTTTCCCTAAATTCCACCACTCATCCCACCAAACCGGGCACTAATAATGAATCGTTTATTAATAATTCAACAATTCATAATTGAGCAGAATAAGGAGGAGAAAGAGGAGAAGGAGGAGGAGGAGGAGGAGGAGAAGGAGGAGGAGGCAGCTGGTGGCTGACCTTAAACACACATGGAGACAGACATGCACACGGTGTTTTGTTTTTTTCCCCCACCAGTTGGCAGCAGTGAGCGCCAAACAAGCACCATCTCCCCCTGAGGTCTCACAGTGGTGTTGTACAAACCAAAGTAGCCCTGCCAGAGCACATTTGTTCATTTAGTCTCTCAGGGAGAAAAAAGGCAGAGAGTATTAGAAAGAGAGAGAGAGAAAGAGACAAAGAAAGAGAAAGAGAAAGAGAGACAGAGAATGTTTTTTATCTGCGACAATAAACACACCCTATGGGCTCCGCCGTTATAATTGATCTTCTGAGAAAAATAGAAAAGTGAACTGAAATTACAGTTCAGGTAAAAATCTCATTAGAACTTTATTAAAAAGAATAAAGATGAAGGAACGATGAGGAAATAAAGATAATATATTCCTACAATAAAAAAACAGATTGAAAAAAAAGCACCAAAATCCTTTATTTCTATCATCTTCTGCTGTTAAATGATTTTAACGGGAGCTGCTGACTTCATTATCACTACTTGTCCTTCCAGCTCCTCTGCTGAGGTCTTTGAGCTGATGTTGAAATGGAGATTGACAGCTGACAGGAAGTAGCCAATCAATCACAAGTTAGTTAAGAAACTCCCTCTAATGAATAGAGTCGGCCGTCAGATCGACACCCCTCATTAACACTTTGATTTTCGTTTTTTTTAACAAATTAGGATCAATTAAAATCAATTAAGCCAATCAAAATGGTAATCTTCAGAGGAGTAGTCCAGCTGTCAGTCAAATATTGAATTAAATTATTTTATTTTTTGAAAGAGTCTGGAAAGCATGATCAATTGGATTAATGAACAGTATAGGTCTGAATAATAATAATAATAATAATATATATGTATACACACATATACTGTATATATACTGTGTATATATATATATATGGTTTATATATATATATATGGTTTATATATATAAAGAACAAAAAACTATATATATGGATTCTCTCTCTGCCGTTATCATCGGATCGACACTTTTTTCTACCCTGCATTAGAGCTCGCGCTCTTGTTAATTCTAGGATATTTTTATTTCAATTTGCAAGCATCAGGGAGCACCTGTCAGGAAGCAGAGACCCACGTGAATGTACCGAAGGATTGGGATGTCTAAAACCCAATGTCAAAAGAAGTGAAAGCTGAGGATAAGAAAAGCAGAGACAGGACGATGTTACACAGCGTCCCCTGAGACAAATGTGCTCCCCCTTTGGGCCGTTTAAACACATGACATTATCGTCGTCTCTGTGTTGTTCTCCTCCCTGACAAAATGCACCAGACAACACCGTGGGTTGACGGCAGATCATGGTACAGATTCTGCTGCTCTTGTGCGCTGACACCAGAGATGGCGTCACACCTTCATTTCCTCCCCACAGTCTCTGCTCTGGGTGTTCTGGTGACTCTCTGTGAAGTGGATTGTGTTGGAGAGAAAAAGGCGAAGCGCAGCAGGGAGTGTGTCGCTCACGGTAAAGGTGGCAATTTTAGCATCAGCCTTGACCGGGCCTTACACGTGTGCTTCCCACCCACATACCAGAAGAACACACTGTCCTGACAAGTAGGAAACACGTGTGTATTTTAAAAACAACTCCTGTGTTTTTGAGGCCTTTTTTTAAACATGTGTGAAGTCATTCTGGACCATTTCTCACTACATCTTTGCCATTTTGCTAGAATAGAATAACAAGATAACAAGACTTGGCCATTTTCTTTGCCTCGTGCCTTCAAAATCATACGACTAAACGTAAACTATTCCAGAGCCAATCTTTAAGATTTGTTTCCATTAGTGTTCCTTCAACGTAACAATTTATAACCTACTTAAATACCTTAAAGTAAAACTATTCCACAGCTAATCTTTAAGATTTGTTTCCATTAGTTATCCTTCAACGTAACAAATTATAACCTACTTAAATACCCTAAAGTAAAAGTAGTATTTGGGTCTAAATTTAACAATATAGCCTTCATCATTTTCATTACTCTAGTTCAACATTCAGCCCCAGTCCAAGGGAAACTAACTTTTAACAGCATTGGTTAATGATGTGGCCAGAGTCAATGATAAAAGCACAAAGTACCAGTGTTGACTGATGTGTCTCCTTAGTTATTAAATGTTGTAACTGTGCCGTTATGTTTGCCCACACCTCTGGTCAGGAATATACTTAAAAAACATTGCCATCATTTTTTATTTTTTAAAAACCTCACTCTTGTGCATCGATGACCCCCCTCAAAAAAAGAACCAATGGCTCGATAAAATTAACACCAAAATAACTGGGTGGGTGAAGGAGAACGGGCCAGAGAATCAGAAGCAGTTCTATCCCAGTCTGCTTCACACACTCAGCTCTGATTATCACTGACGCAAACATGTTACCGAGTGAAAATCTCAAATGCTTTCTCCCAGTTAGTTTTGTGACAAGAAAGTGTATGCCTTCATGGGAAGTTACCCCACAGGGCTAAAAAAAAAACTGTCAGACAGAAAAATGTAGAAAAGAGAGGACGACAGGCTGAGAGAGAGAGAGAGAGGGGTGGGGAGACGCAGAAGCAGGAGGAAAAGTGTGTGAAAGAAGAGACTGGAGTCAACAGGCATAATTAAAGAGAGTTAGGGGCAAAATAGTGTGGAAAAAAACTGTCAGCTGAATAAGAGAAAAGAGGGTCAGCAGGGGCAAGAAAGTACACAAGCAGAGGAAACAAAAAGATAGAAAAAATATATCATTAACAAGACGGCTGAGGATGCTGTAACCTCCAGTGGTTTACTAAAGTCTGCTGTATGCTGCGTTTAGGTGACATGTTGAGGAAATAACTGTCGAACTGTTCGGGGCCTGAATTAAACGTGAACTTTTTTTTTTTTTTGGTTTGCATAAATTGGGACACAGCTCGTGAGTTAGTGTGTGTGTGTGACACAGCTGGTGTGTCTGTGGTTGATTACCTTGATAGTGTGCACTGAAGCCACGGTAGCGATGGTTGCCGTCAGTGACAAAATGCAGCCGGAGCCAGTTCTTGTTGCTGACAATGGGTGATGGGACGTTACTGCCTGACAACCTGGAAGAACGTTAGAAAAAAAAAAAAAGTTACAAAACAGAACATGACAAAACACGTGTCAAAAAGACACACACTGATCTGAACTTTGACCCCCTGATGATGCACCAGAATACAGTTGTGTGAAAAGAATCCTTCTCTCCAAGTCGTCCAGTTAAATCAGCACAGAAACACATGCACAACATAAACAATGGTTGTCTTGAAAATAGTAAAACCTTCACTAAAGCCTGAGAATTCAGACGTTTGTGCTGTGAGCTACAACAGCTAGAATTTACTGACTATGTTAGAAGGAACATGGCAAAAGTGTGTGTCGGGAGCTGGTGTGTTAAAAAAAAAAGAAAACGTGAGAAAATGTTCTCACTGAACTACACAAAGTATGAGGGACTCCACCAAACAATGCAAGCGAGTGGGTTCTACGCCTGGAAGCTGCTTTTAATGAAGCAGGAAATCTTATTTTTTTATTCATCACTTTTGCCAACATTTTCCCTGCTGCTCTGGGGGGGATTTGTCCCAGCAACTCTGTATAAAAGCCCAATACTTGTGTTGTTGTTTCCGAAGTAGTTAGGACTTGGCGTTGTTTGTGACTATATTACAGCGGTAACTCCTACTTTTCATATTTACGCTCCATGACTGAGTTAATATACAGTGCCTTGAAAGGCTGATGTTTCCACCACGGGACCGCAGGGCAGAGAAAAACTCTGCAAACTAGGGCTGTGGTGGAACTCGGCATCACAGGCATGTAGGGCCCAATTTGCAAGTCTTTCATCAAACCTGGCAGCTAAAACGTGGTAATTGGCTGAAATGATGATCAAGGCTCTTCTAGATGGTAGAGTGAAGTGTGGCAGGACATAACAGGGAGCACTTGGTTTCACTGCAGTAAAGTAGTCGGAGTCTAAATTCAAATAAGTACAGCCATAGTCATTATATCACTCATTTGAAGTAATCTTCAACTTTTAAGTATCAGTGTATTAACATATCTGGAGTGTGTTGACCTCATGTTTGCTTCCTGGAAGACTTGTTGTTGTTTACGTTCGATTAAAGCGTACACATGACCACACTGCATATACAGCAGCCTCCGACAAGAGCAGAGGAAAGTGGAGCATGTGAATGCTGACCAGGTGTTTTAGAAGGTGTGTGTGTGTGTGTGTGTTTGTAAGAGCATGACAGAGACAGATACAGGGTCACCTCAAGCCCTAGAACAGATGAATTCTCCGATGTCAACCGGTTGATGCACGTTCTTAAACATTCTTCTGTGGTTTTCCAAGGAAAATGTACAAACTTTTCACAGTTCACACACGGCGTACACTAGAACAGCACTGAGTTTGCAACACGGGAATTGATGAAATCACATTAGGAGGAGTGCTAGTACTTGTGACATACGTATTATACTAGTATGCTGCAGATTATCAGGACATTTTGCTATTTTACCAAGTTTGTTCACGACACATTAGCTGCAGGAGACGGCGAGAAAAACTACAGATAATTAAATCACGGCAACAAATAGGCACATTGCCATTCAGAAACAGCAGACTTTGTTAAATGAGAGACTTAAAAATAAATAAATAAATAAATAAGCATATAATAATATTTTATTTAGCTGTCGATAATGTGCTTCCTTAAATAGTTTTGGTCTGGTATAATAAGTTATCGACAGCTTTTAGAGGCTTTTACAGGAAATGAATCATGGGGGAAAAACACACCTTCCAGAAAAGAGAGTGTTTCTTAAATGAAATTTAAAAAAAAACACACCTTCCAGAGAGTGTTTCTTAAATGAAATTTAAAATATCTTCTTCTAAACACTCACCTCTCCAGACTAGACTGGAGAAGGTACTCACTGTATGACTGACACTGCAGCTCAGACAAGCATGTTTTCTCCTCTGCTCTGCAGCCTCTCCTGCTCTCTTCACCTTTTATAATATCTCCTTTCATTATGGCTTTTCATATGTGCACTTTCTTAGACATATTATTCATGTCCTTGATTCATTCCAAGCCACATCATCATCATCATCATCATCATCATCATCATCACTCAGGGTGCATCATTAGGGCCTGAAAGTGTGTTCCTTTTATTAAAACTAGGTATTAAACCATACATCTATACAGGAGTACAGGCAGCACCTTTTATAATGTGGAACAGATACAGAACTGAGTACAGGCAGCACTTTTTATAATGTGGAACAGATACAGAACTAGGAGGGAAAAAAAGTGAAATGTAGTTTGGTTAATGTGAACGTTACACACCACCTGTTTACGAGGTATGGCTCTGCTCTCAAATTCATTTAGGTCAATAAAGATCCCCAAAGACTCTCAGCTGCCCCCCACCTCTGTCTGTGTGTGGGTGTGTTGGAGTTAATATCCAGTGGAGTGACTGAGGGGAGCAGGAGAACATGGCAGAATACACCAGAGCAGAAGAGCGCCTCACAGTGGTTACTGTGTACAGAAATATATTTTCAAATAATATATACTGTACAAAACTGATATTTCTACTGAATGAATATCTTATACCTATAACTGTGGCGTCCATCCTGACTTTGATTTGCCACAGCAACTTTTCTCCAACCTATGTTTTTTCCCGTAGACACGTCCACCGTCCTGTCCTCACTTAAGGACAAATAACCTGGAGAGTTATCACCGCGGTTGTCTTCCTCCTAATCAGGTACAAGTGCTGCCAACTCCTGTCCGTAAGGAGCCAAGGATACTTAAAGGGAAATCTGTAACTTTGAAGCATCACTAAGTGAACTGCTTCCACAAAACACTAACCTCCGAGCTGCTGCACCAGAGACAGTGACTAAAGAGTTAAAGGGGGCACATTTAATTAATCAATTAGGACAACTGATTTCAATGCCAAGTTTAAAACACATCAATGCCAATACTTTGCTACATCTGTGGGGGCAAACCAAATATTTGGCCTCAGACGTCGCCACAGTGATCGCCTGTAGACTGATCTAGGCACAGTTTTTACACCGGAGGCCCTTTCTGACTTCAACCTGGAATAGGGGACTATTTAGATTCTTAGAAAAAAAAGTACAAATAATGATAAAAAAAAAACTAGAGACACTGTGGTGTAGCACAAAATGTACTCTGAAGACAATAAGACAGGGACTTTGAGTCTTATTCCAGGGTCTCATTTTGCACAGGAGCGTTCTAACTCTTCTAAGGTATAGATATAAAAACAGTAAATCTAAATTAAATTAAATTGATTTTTTGCTGTTTTTTTTTTTGTCAAATGAAACTGCAAAGATATGAACTCACACTGAAAAATGAAAGTGATATTTATTACTGAGAGCTTCATATGTGACATTCTAATTTTCCTGTATATATAAGTCGTTTCTCAATGATTAATTGTTCATGCTATACTAACAGCTGATGTGGAATCAGTGGACTCCTGCGCCGGAGGAACGATTGACGTATATGAATGTCTATATCAGCCCAAGTGTGACTATTTATTAGACAGTCAGGTAAAGCTCCTTAATCAGACCATCTGTCTTAATAGCCTCCCTTAATTAAGACAGGTGGGAACTGCCACGGATATATGCTTAAAAAGACATTCTAACGTGAACGGACGAGAGAGAGACAGAGAGAGACAGAGAGAGAGAGAGACAGATGAATTGTATAGATGCAGAAAAATGATCAAATAACCAGAGACACTGCAGTGTAGCACAAAATGTAGTCTGGTTGGAGACATAATCAATCAGTACAGAAAGACAGGGAACCACCAGGACCTCTCTGTCTATGTGTGTGCGTAATGTTGGACTCAATAGGAGTATATCATGAATGTACGTGTGTGTGTGTGTGTGTGTGTGTGGGCGAGCCTGCTCCATCACTCTCCATCAATCTCAGGGAGGCAGAGAATCATCAGTGTTCACAACAGGAACCTACCTGGTGCTGCCTCCCATCCCTTTGACTCATCTCAAATTTTCTGCACCTTTTTGCCTGAACGTTGATTGAATAGTATTTTTTTATTCCTCCTTTTTTGTGTATCCGTACTCCTCGAATAAATTTGATGTCCAACAGGAGTGACACGGACTCAGATGCTTTGAAATGTGACTGGTCATCTACAGCACACCCATACAGGAGGAACTGTGTATTGTAATACAGAAGAGGGAAGTAGAACATTCTCTGGATTCAACACCTTCTGTATTCCATGCACTCACTCACACATTTCCACTTGGAGGACACTGATTTGGCCCATTTCCATATTGCCAAAACAGCCAGCAGGAGAATGTGGAGTTTCGCCTTGATTAATGGAACCATGGAATCAGAAACCCTGCCTCTGCAGTCGACAGACAACCGGCTCTGCCCACTCCACCACGGCGTACCCACAGTTGGGTTGTTCATGGCCATTTTAACTAAACAACACTGATTTAATATTCCAACCACAAAAACTCAGGGGGTGAGATTTTGTCTAAAAAGAAAAATCACAAAATTAAACACACACACTGTACAGTGGTTGAGTAATTAATCTCTTCAACACCGTTTTTTTTTTAAGCACAAACCTACAACCAAAGGACAAATGTGACTTAAAACAAAGGCATGCATACACATGAAGACAGACCATAGGTATAGGACAGGAAGTGACAAGGACGGCAGTATATAACAGCAAGATTAATTTGCAGTGGACTTCACAAACTAAGGCAGACTGTTCCAGTGAACTCCTGCATGTCCTTTGGGCTCAGCTGTGCACCTACAGCACATAGATTATTATTAAATTTATATTTTTAAAAGGATGAAAAATGTTGCACATTTGACCTAAATATAGATTTTGACCCACTGGCTGTAACCTTAGTATGGATTAGATTATATGTTGCACAGTAGTGGGATTATAAATACACAGTACACGTCACTCCTAACCTACAACACGTTCTGGATGTTTCATCACTCATGACAAATTGATTGGACAAACATACTCTGAAGATGTGTCTGTGCCCCAGGGAGAAAGTGAGCTTTTTCAGATTTTTATCTTCAATGATCATATCATAAAACTATTATCATAAACTAATCCA